AGTTGAAGCGAATCGATGGCGATAGGAGAAGGAAAAGTGAAAATCGACAAATTTGATGGGAAGAACTTTGGTTTTTGGAAGATGCAGATTGAGGATAATCTATATCAGATGAAACTGCACTTGCCCCTATTTAGGGAGAAGCTAGAGACTATGAAGCAAGCTGACTGGGAATTGCTGGATAGACGAGCTTTAGGTGTTATTCGGCTGATATTGGCTCGTAATGTCGTGTTTACCATCGTGAAAGAGAAGACCACTGCGGGTTTGATGGAAGCCTTGTCAGATATGTACGAAAAGCTCTCTGCGATCAATAAGGTCTATTTGATGCGACGTTTGTTTAACTTGAAGATGAGCGAAGGTGCGTCAGTTGCTGATCATATCAATGAATTCAATGTGATCGTTAGTCAATTGAGTTCAGTTGATATTGACTTTGAAAATGAGGTACGTGCTTTGATTCTATTATCCTCACTGCCTGATAGTTGGAACATTACTGTTACTGCTGTTAATAATTTCTCTAGGCCAACAAGCTTGATGATTGATGGTGTTCAAGATTTAATTTTGAGTGATGACATCTGCATAAGAGAATCTGGTGAACATGTATATGCTGTTTTAGTAGGTAAAAATAGAGGAAGAACTGGTACTCGTGTTGGTAGAAGTAGTAGAATAGACGAAGTTAGTCTTGGACTGGTAGTGGCATCTTAGAAGAGATTGCTTAAAGTTGAAAAACGACAAAGGTAAGGGAATTAGAGTTGAGTCTGCGGATGATGTTGTTGTTATAGCTGACAGTAATTCGGATAATGCTAATTATGTCTTGTCGCTAATTATTCGTCGTTTGGCGGATGGATTATGGATTCTGCTTGTTCATTTCATGCTACACCAAATAGGAACTGATTAGTGCACAAATAATAGTAAAGTGCAGTTGGGGAACAATTCTGAATGCGATGTTATAGGTGTTGGTGATGTTAAAATCAGAATGCATGATGGTATTGTGAGGACATTGACTGGAGTGAGGCATGTTCCAGAGTTGAAGAAAAATCTTTTTTCTTTGAGTGCCCTGGAATCAGTTGGGTGTCGGTATTCTTCAGAATGTGGAATTCTGAAGGTTGTTTGAGGTACCTTGGTGATAATGAAAGGAATCAATCATAATGACATGTATGAGCTTCAAGGTGAGACAGTGACGAAATTCGGTGCGGAGATGTCGGAGGCATCTGTTCGAGAGTCTGAATCGTGGCATATGCGTTTGGGGTACATAAGTGAGAAAAAGCCCGAAGGTTCTAAGTGAAAGGTTCTAAGATAACAAACTGAATGTATGCAGGTGTTGTGATTTAGATGAACAGCGGAAAGTACAGTTCACTGTGGTTGTCAGAGAAACCACGGAAATTGCAAAATTGATTCACTTAGATGTTTGCAGGTTGTCGCGGTTTTCTTTGAGGAAGAGTGTTAGATTTATGCTAACAGTTATGGATGACTACTCGATGAAGACTTGGGTGTTTGTGCTTAGGCACAAGTTTGATGCTATTGTAATAATCAGACAGCTAAGAGCTTTGATCGAAAAAGAGACTGGTAAGACGATCAAGCAGGTGCAGACTGACAATAGTATAGAGTTTTGCTTGGAGCTGTTAAAAGAATTCGGCATAAAGGAAGGCATAGTGAAATACCGCGCTAGTGCTAGTGAACCACAACATGTTGCGGAATTGATGAGCAAAACATTACTAGAGACAGGCCACAAAATGCTCTCTAGTGCTGGTATGGCTAGGAGATTCCTGGCGGATAACTACCTAAAAAATATATCCCTATCGACTGCGATTGGATGTCGGACTCCCGAAGAAGTGTGGTCAGGTAACGTTACTAATTATTATATTATTAGAATGTTTGGTTGCTTGTGTTATGTTTGAGTTAGTGATGGTAAGCTCGATAGAATGGTAAGAAAGTGCATGTTCTTAGGTTATGCACAAGGTGAGCAGGGATATAAGTTGTGGTGCTCGGAATTAAATTCACTTGTTATCAGCAGAGAAGTTACATTTGACGAGTTTCCAGTACTTCTGACTAGGAGTGTTTGTGACAGTGTTCATATGGATCTGAACGGCGTTCAGCTTGAGGGCAACTGGAAACTCCTGAGGTAGCAGGTACTGGTGAAGTAATTGACACAGATGGTGCTTGTAGTGAGGTGGAGCCCATAGAGTCAACGTTTGTTGTAACTGTTGATATTGACAAGGTGTGTATTCAATCTCCCAGCAGATATGGATGCAATGATAGTTTTGTTTTATCTGCGATTGAGGATGTTGTGTCGAAAAATTCCTGTGAAGCAGTTAAAGGTTCATGTGGAGTTAGTGTTCTGATGAGACTCACGGTTATAGCGAAGTTCAAGCGCAGCTTGGATTTGAAAGATGTCTGTGGTGGTTGAGCCCATTGGAGCTGTGGGAGGATAGTAGTGAAGTTCTGACGAAGCGATTGTGACTTGGCTTAAACGTTGAGCAAATGTGGAGATTGTTAAAATTATGCTTCGATTTTGAGCCCGAAAAGGAAAGTTTCCTAATTCAATTAGGTTTCATATTTTGAATAGGTTTCCTACTTGAATGGTTTTCTAGTTGAAAAAGATTTCCTAATTGGAGAAGGTTTCATAAAAAGGTGTTTCCTATTTTGGATCCAATTCTTGCCTATAAATAAAAAGATGATGTTATTTGTGAAGATCATCAAAGAGGAGTTTCTGCTAGTGAATTACACTCCGAAGATATCCGAGTGTTTGTAGCGATTAAATTCTTGTGGTAATAATTTGTTTATAATTCCTTTGTGAGATTGAGAGATTATTTCGCGAGGAATCGTGGGCTAAATACTGTGTAAGTTATTAGATGTAATTGGGGCTTGGGAAACACTTAAAGTGTTTGAGTAACTCGAGTGTGGTTGTAATTAGGTCATTACGACCGAACCACGTAAATCTGGTGTCCGATTTATTTTTTTGTTCTGTCAATTTTGTTATTCGATTGCTTGGCTTCCGCAACATAAAGATTCATGTAGTTTTTGTACTTTTGATGAGCATGCAAGTAATTCATATTATTCGTGAAACGTCATTGATACGGTTCATGAAGTTCATATTGTTCAAATATCTCTTTATCTTTCTAGTCCGCAAGTGTAAACGGAAAATGGAATAGCTCTCCAAGAACCTATATTTTTAGCTATAAAAAAATGAAATATCATAGGGGTAAACTAAAAAGGATAATCATGCATGTAATATTTTTTAGGTTTTCGAATTTTAGAGTCCGTTTGCTTTACAGAAAACGAACAAGTTGAAAAATATCTTCCTAAAAATAATTGATTATATTGCTTGGAGTAATTAGTCAGCAAAAAACGTTTCTATTAACGACAACAAATTATGCTTGATCATTTTTTGTGAACGATGAAAATATTTTTAGTTCATCCAGCGATCATTTTTTTAATTTTTTTTTCCAAAGCATGAATTTTCTGCAAAACTAATGGGCCCTTAGTTGGTTCACGATTGTTGTCTTTCGCCAATGGTACAAAAGAATATACTTTGTGTGCATTTTCTATTGAGGATCTACTGATGAATATTCTTGATTGTGACTATTTTAATTCACATCAAAGTTATTTATTCATGTTCAAATATTCTTACATAGTTTTTAGTGGCGAAAAATATAATTTTCGAATATCGCCGCGTATCATATACATATATTATATATAGGGAAAAAACCACAAAAAACCCCAAACTTTACCCCCTGTGACACATTTACCCTGAATTTTTTTTTGTGACACCAAAAATCCCAAACTTTGCTATTTGTGACACATTTACCCCAATATACTGTAGCCTAGGGTATTTTAGTTTTTTTTTTTTTTTCCCTTTTTCTATTTTTTTTTTTCTTTTTTTTCTTTTTTAGAGGCAAAAAGTTTGCCCTCGCAGGCGAGAGTCTCCCGGCGACCTCGCCGGCGAGGGCGAGGACTCTCGCCCCGCCCGGGCGAGGGCGCCTCTCGCCGGCGTTGGGCCAGGGCAGCCCTTGCCTCGCCGGCGTCGGGCGAAGGACCCTCGCCCCGCCCAGGCGAGGGACCCTCGCCTCGCCCGGGCGAGGTGAAGGGGCGCCGCCACGGGCGGGGCGAGGGCCGCCCGCCGGCGCCGGGCGAGGGCTTCCTCGCCCCGCCCAGGCGAGGCGGCCCTCGCCGAGATCCGATGAGGGCGACCCTCGCTCGATGCCGCGAGGGCCCCCTCGCCGGATCCGGCGAGGGCGGCCCTCGTCGGCGTCGGCAGCGAGGTCGCCCTCGCCGGCTGGCCGGCGAGGGCTACCCTCGCTCGCCCGAGCGAGGGCGACCTCGGGCGTCCCGAGCGAGGGTCTCCCTCGCCGGATCCGGCAAGGGCCGCCTCGCCCGGGCGGGCGAGGAAGACTCGCTCGACGTCGGCGGCGACCGCCGCCCCCCGCCCTGTGCGAGGCGCACCTTCACCTCGCCCGGGCGTGGCGAGGGTCCCTCGCCCGGACGCCGGGCGAGGCGAGGGCGCCTCGCCCAATGCCGGCGAGGCGCCCTCGCCCGGGCGGGCGAGGGTCCTTCGCCCGACGCCCGGCGAGGCGAGGTCAGTCGGAGACCTCGCCGTGCGAAGGGCGTGACCTCACGGAAAAAAAAGAAAAAAAAAAAATAGAAAAAGGGAAAAAGACTAAAATACCCTAGGCTACAGTATATTGGGGTAAATATGTCACAAATAGCAAAATTTGGGGTTTTTAATGTCATAAAAAAAAGTTCGGGGTAAATGTGTCACATGGGGCAAAATTTGGAGTTTTTGGTGGTTTTTTCCCTTATATATAATAACATATAATAGGATAACATCTATTACAATAACATCTAAACATCACATCACATCACATCACATCACCGGACGAATTTTTTTTTTTCTCTTCTAGAACACTGGACTTGTTTTCACAGGGATGATGTCGCACCGTACATATTTATAATATATCTTTGCTGATTCTTTCTGTGTGCAACGGCGTCGTTTTTCCTTCTCTTTTTCATCCCCTTGTCCTCCTCCTCCATCAGTTGCAACTCAAAATGCCAGTCCGTGCTCGATCATCGTCAGTCGTCATCGCCACTGTGAATTCAGACAGGTGAACGGACGGCGATCTCAGCAAACGGAGCAAACGACCTGCTCGGCGGGGAAGCACCAGCGAGCATGACTGACGCGAACGCGGCGATCGAAGTCGCCGCCGGAGTTCCGACTTCGACTCTCAACCGTATCGACCTCTCGAGCTCCGACATTCCTGGTTCGGTGTCTCTGCTCAAACAGGTCTTCGATTCTCCCGACTTTGTCCGCTATTTCGATTCTGATTTCCGATACGTAAAAACGAGGAAACCGAGGTTTTTGAGTTGAGAGGACACTGACGGATGAATCCAATCTACTGGCCTCAGGCGTGCTTGGATTCTGGCTTCTTCTACGTGATCAATCATGGGATTAGCCAGGATTTAATGGAGGAGGTGTTCGTCCAGAGCAGGCGGTTCTTCGGTTTGCCTTTGAGCGAGAAAATGAAGCTGTTGAGGAACGAGAAGCACCGAGGGTATACTCCTATGTTTGATCAGATCCTCGATCCTGCAAATCAGATAGACGGTTTGTGTCCGATGATCCTATCTATTCCTTTTGGGTGTCAGGTTGCTGAAGATTTTACTGCTTATAGCGGACATAGATGAATAGCTGGTGATTTTGATAGCTTCCTGTAATCAGGTGGTGGTTGAGTAGCAGTTCCTAGAAAAGGAAGATCAATTAGTTATTATTCGTGTTTGTGATTGTATCATTGGAGAGAACTGACACAGAAATAGGAGCTAGTTGTTAGATGCGCTAACTCAAAACCATGAGTTCTAAGGCAAAGATTTGGCTGAAGCTTGTTATTACCTATATGCTTATCATCTTCTGAAGATCTTCTGAAGATTGTTGGAGTAGTAATGATTCCATTGACGTTTTATAGGAGATTATAAGGAGGGATATTACATAGGAGTGGAATTACCAGAGGACGATCCTGGTGCGCGGAAGCCTCATTTTGGACCAAACCTCTGGCTTTCTGAGGGTAAGCAATTGTTTGATATAATTTCTGTTCAACTTGAAATAGTTGCTGATGATGTAAGCTTATTTTGGTTTCACTGTTGTATTTTAACTAGATATATTGCCAAGATGGAGGCAGGCGATGGAAAAATTTGGTAGTCAAGCATTGTGAGTTTTTACTATAGATGACATAGAGCCATAGACATTAATTTTTCTTGCTAATTCCGGGATGTAAATTTTATTCCATCCAAGTAAAAGATAATACAGACATCTTCTATTTCTCTGACGGGGTATTTGGGCATTGTCAATATCCCATGGGAGTTGAATTGCCTCTGACGTCTGAACTGAATATGCTCTCTTGGGCTCTTATCGTATGTTGGCCAAAGTAAAACTCCTCTAGTTATTTGTAGCGGCTGATTAAACAATTTTCTGGGTTATTGTTCTAAAGCTACTATGCTGCAATATGAACAAGTTATTTTTACCTGTTGAGATTTACCATTAATCACCCCGACCAAGAGCCTCAACTCAAGTGTCTAATTGCTTATTGTGGTAGGGCTGATGTTACAGTCAATAAGGTCTCCAACTCTAAATCATTCGACTTTTGGATCAAGAGTTATGCCTAGATGATATATGTGGCAAGATTAAGTGTAATTTGTTGGTATAGACAAAGCGATGGTAGTCAATTTGGTAACTTTTTGATTTGTAAACGTGCACACTCAGAAAAGTGGCAAAAGTAGCTGCAAGGATCATTGCTCTAGCACTTGATCTGGAGGCTGATTTTTTTGATAAGCCAGAAATACTCGGCGAACCTATTGCGACCTTACGCCTGTTGCACTATGAAGGTAGATTTTACTTCAATAAACTTCATAATAAACCCTGCAATTCTTTCTTCTCATCAGGTTGATAATCCTTTCTTTGTTTAGGTCTAGTCTCTGATCCCTCTAAAGGAATATATGGAGCTGGGGCACATTCGGACTTTAATTTTATTACCTTGTTGGCAACAGATGATGTCCCAGGTCTCCAAGTATGAAATTTTCTCCTTTAGAACTGTTGGTGCAGACTTTATTCATAGTTATGATGCATGGAAATTTTTGAACTTATTTAGATTTGCAAGAAGAAGGATGCTAAATCTCCGATGTGGGAATTTGTGCAACCTATGAGAGGGTAAAGCCCAACTGCATTATAATTGTGAATTTGAGATGATTACATTAGAGTCTCATATTTAGAGTATTTTGGACGCTTTTGGTGGAAGATCATCATTATGGATTTCTATTCTAATGATTCATGGCTCACAAATATAACTTGCAATAACTTTTTTTTTAATCTTGCACTCCTGGTTTATTGGGGAATATAAACTGTTTCCCGTTGTACGCATGATTAGAAGAGCGCTAGATGCCAATGTTGGGTGGAATACTACCGCAATAATTGCTCCTTCTTTGTCTGACCCTGATCTGCTACTATAGTTCTTATTTGTACAAAGGCAGTGATAAGCCATGCTAGAGAGAAAGTATTATTGTCAGAGGGGTGATAAAGATGGATTTCCATTTATTAATTTAGAGAGGTGCCCTCATTCACAGATCCTTTCCTTTCTGCAATTTGCATCTATATAAGGGTACATATTAACTTCGATCAGTTTAATTCTTCTGGTGCCTTGCTGATGAACCTCCCTCCCTCACAAACACTCTTACACACATGCACACAATGGTACCCAACCATTCTTTCCTGGTTAATTTTGTACCGGTCAACGTTCATAGAACTGCCACGCATCATACACACTCTAAAAAAAAATGTAATTACCCTCTTTTAGTTATATAGTTTATTGCTTAGATTCAAATATACATAATCATCATAAATACGGGACAGAAGAATCCCACAGTCATCCTAAAAAGTAACATTTTTTCTGTGACTATTTTGTACAGAGCATTCATAGTGAATCTTGGTGTTATGCTAGAACGATGGAGCAATTGTATTTTCAGGTAATATGCTTTGGTAACAATCTATATAGATAAATTGGCATGAGGAAAGCTTTGAACATGAAGGTTGGAGAGTATCTTATGGCAGGCTACTATATATTGTTAACCTGTCCCAAACTCCACCAGAATTCTCCCATTAATAGTGAAAGAGCATCTACTCTTGACATTGGTCACGAAAAGAATCCAAGTTAAAAACAGTTGTTAAAGACGGTACGATATGTTGGTGACCTACGTTAATTTCTACACAGAGACCAATTTATGAATATCAATTAATAAAATTGCTATTCTAGTGCTTTTATTATCACTCAGCTTTTATTGGTCAACTTTTGGATCCTAATCCTTGCATGAGAAAATGTTTAAATGATGTATGAAATGAGCTTTTTGCTTGAATCTAATTGATGTCCTGCAATTCTCTATATTTAGCAAATCATTCTCTATTCTTTCTTTTTTGAATTTGACTTGCTGCTTTTTTGCTTCAGTTTGTCAAATCTATACTTTTGCTTTGCTTTTGCAATCAGGTCCACGCTCCATCGAGTTATAGGGAATGGTCAAGAACGGTATTCTGTAAGGCTTCTCTCTCTCTCTCTCTCTCTCTCTCTCACTCCCCACCCACGCACACACAAACACGCATTTCTCCTCATTTTTTGAAAATTTTTTCAAAAGCCTTTAAGAGAACTTTTAAGCATTGTCGAATCTATTGAAAGAAGTCTGATTGATTGGTGAACAAAGTCGTGACTACTTCAACCGGAAAAAGGGCAGTTAAAGCCAATCTTGGATAGTTGTAAGCTGATTCAAAACAAGATCCTAGTTTTAAGATCAAAGATCTAGTGGAAAGTCAGTTGAACTTGTGATCAAACTCTTAGGAAATTCTTCTCAACACGAGATTATCTTCAGGGATGATCCACATTAGTTTTCGCAAAAGAAGCCTAATTGTTTTGCCTTCCCTAATTAGCATCTTTCATTCATTACCTTCTCCATTCTTATTGACTTCTTTTGCTAATATTTTTGTTAAAAAAGATTCTATTTATGCTCATGTTCTCACGAAATACAGATTGCGTACTTCCTGAAGCCTAACCATGATTGTCTCATTGAGTGCTTGCCAACATGTATGTCAGAGGAAAATCCTCCCAAGTAAGTTATCTTCCGCACATCAGTCACTTTCCTATATTAACAAGATGGTGCTGTACTTCTTTAACCAAAAAAAAAACAAGATGGTGCTGTACTTCCTCTCTTATCAGTTCTCAGTCCTCAGATCTAGTTTTCCTCCCCGATTTGAATGAGTGTCTTTACGCATTGTGCTTGATTGCTGGTGCTCTGCTAGGAACGTGCATGTTGAAGTGAATATTGCACGTATAAGGATCATCCAAGCACTGTTAAGAGGACTGCATCAAGTTTAACTCCATGATCATGAGGGAAAAATGTTTACTCGTGTATTAGGCATTGACCTGTCCTGGATTTGATGAATTGATACGATCAATTACATGCTCATACGCTCTCTTTACGGGGTTGGATCCTTTTTGCGTGGGGATTTGGGTGCTGCGTTTAACATAGCTACTCCAATAGTGATTTTTTTTTTTTTTGGTAAGGCTACTCCAATAGTGATTTTTTTTATCTGGTCGAAACTCCAATATTGATTAGACATGGTGCAAATTAGCAAATTTATACCAGCATGGGATCTTAAGTTTGTTCAAAATTGCATCAATGTGCAGGTTTCCGCCTGTCCAATGTCAGACCTACTTGTCCCAAAGATTCAAAGATACTCATGCTGATTTAAATGTATACAGAACGGAAGGAGCTTAGAGTTTGCCAGTGAGAGCGGAAGCCTGTCAACCCGCACTTGCCCGAAGTAGGGTTATAATTTTAGAACTTGTACAGATGTGCATAATGAGCTTAGAGAAGAGCGTCCAACAGAGTACCTTCATGTACATACATATGCACATACAACCAATGATCTGTTTATGTTCAGCAGTTTCCACCTTATTTTGCTCCTAAATTAACTGTTTGTACGTGCACATGTCGAAGCACCGACTCTCCTGTGATTCAACGGATGGGTCCGCTTTTCAACAATAGTTTCGGTAGATTGGACTGTACATGCAACTTTCGGCGTACTTGACAAGATTTTTCTGGACTGGGTGGGCGTGTCGCTAAGCCTACAAAGGATTGAAAATATGACGGGCTAAGGAGGAGTGAGCAAGCATTTTCATGTGGGTGGGACTGCGGGTAGCATTGGCAAGTGCACTTACAGATATCGTAAGCACTTTAGCCACTTTGGCTGCTACTTTCGCAGAAATCTTTCTGATGTTTCTCAAAGGTGGATAGGTCAATCCCTTCTCAAAGTCCCCCTGTGACACTTGACTAACTGACGCTTCCGCCATGTTAAAACACAAACAAGCTTTACACACAGGAAGACTTGACTTGGCTCTCTCTCTCTCTCTCTCTCTCTCTCTATTTTGGGGAAAAAATCATGAAAAACCCCAAACTATATTCATTGTAACACATTTACTCCAATTCTTTTTAATTACACAAAAATTCCAAACTTATACTCTTAAGACAAATCTACCTTCCGTTACAATTTTGTTAATTAAGGCCGTTCAAATCCAATGTGGCTGCCTGCATAGCCAAAACAACGCCCTTTTGATGGCCATTTAAACCACAAAAGACAAGCTCTCTCTCTCTCTCTCTCTGATTTGAAGAGTTCATTTCTAGGGTTTGTTCATGTTATCTCTCTCATAAAATCTTATTTGCTCTCTCGATCAGTTCCTCCACGTTCTCTAGGGTCATTGCTCCCCCTCTGTCTGTTTGAAGCTCTATTCGCTTGTCTGCTCATTGCTGAAGTTGTATTTACTCGATTCGGGACTTGCTCGAAGAAGCTCGATTCTAGCTCGATAATTCTCTGAATTTGAATGAACCCCTCAAAGATTCTAACTGTTGTTTGCTTATGAAAGTTAATAGTGGTTTCTCGTTTTTAGTAGAGCATTGTGTGTTGACATTTGAAGGCAAAGAAAGTAACGTCACTTGAGCTTCTTTCTTTTTTGGTCACCATTTCACTTGAGCTTGCTCTTGTTATTACTTAAACATGTTCTACTATCATATAGTAATCTAAACATGGGTTTTTCTCTATTTTTTTTGTAGATGGAACGTCGTATGGGGGGAATGAAAAATGCAGTTGATATTGAAATAATAGATGACTTTGAGGTTAAAATTCGGGGTGGAGCTGGGGGTGCTAGGCAGGGTGAAATTGATGTTGAAGTTGAGTTAAGCGATGAAGTTAGGATTGAACTTGTGGATAGGGTTGGGGCAGGGCTTGAATATGGGGGTGCTAGCCAGAGTGAAAATAGTAAGAGTGATGATGACTTTTATTTTGAGAGTGATGATAGTGAGAGTGATGATGCTGAGATTGATTTATTAACTTGGACATCTGATGAACACATCCTATCTAGAGATGAGGAAGGGATACATAAGGTGGGGATGGAGATAATATTTACTATTGATACAGGATAAGGAGACATGAATGAGGATGAAAATGATGAGTACATTGAAGCACATGAAGATCTTAGTCCTCTTAACTCTAGAGATCAGAAAGAATGCGACCGAACAAGAGCTTTGACTCAGACCAAAAAAAAGAAAAGAGCTTTGACAATTAGATATGACCCGAGCTACGATCACAGAGTAGTAGTTTCAGTCAAGCATGAGATTTGTCTCATATTCAGTTTAAGAGGGCAGTGCAGAAATATGCAATCACAAATGGCTACAACATTGGTTGGCATATAAGTGAATTAAAAAAGATGCATGCGAAGTGTGTGATCGGATGTGAAAGGTCCCTTTATGGCAGTTGGTTGAAAAAAGAGAAACGTTTATTATCAAGACGGTTGGAGAAGAACACACTTGCCCTAGAAGCATGAGAAATTAAAGTGCATCTTACGTATGGCTTGCAAAAGAGTTCTTGCCTAAATTAGAGCTAATTTGAAATATACTGCATCACAATTACAGGCAGAAGCAATAGAGATGTGGGGACTTAGGCTTAACAGAAGAGCTTGTTACAAAGCAATTGTCAAAGCTCTTAAGACTATTAGGGGTCCATTTGCCAAGCCGTATAAGTTAATTACATCTTATAAAAGCTCAATCAAAGCAATCTAGTAAGAACAACACATTTGATATTGTACTTAGATAGTCATAAAACATGTTCAAGAGATTTTATGTGGGATTCGAAGGGTTGAAAAAGGGTCGTCTAGAAGGTTGTAGGAAAATAATTGGACTAGATGGTTATTTTATTGAGACCTTAGTAAAGCAAATGCTACTTTGTACTGTTGGAAGAGATGGAAACAATAAGATGTTTCTAATTGCATGGACTGTTGTTGAAGCGGAGACACAAGACAGTTGAACTTGATTCCTCATGTTGCTATTTATAGACCTTCAAATAGGCAGAGGTGATGATTGGACCTTCATAAGTAATCAACGAAAGGTATGATGAGTCTCCAATCATTAGTTTTTTTTATAATAGTGGTTGAATTATGTCTTGTAAGGCTTTATTAATGCATTTCAATTATGTCTTGCTGGGCCTTATCAATGCAATTTCTTCATTGGTTCCTTGTGTAGAACATAGGAATTGTTCTAGGTACATTTACGCAAACCGGAAAAACCTATGTAGGGGAGAAACATTTCGAAATAACTTCAGTTGCGTATGCCATATACGAGATTGAATTCAACATAGCAATTGAAGGAATAAAGGGGGAGTCTGTTAATGCCTATAAAGATTTCATGAGGCAAGGGCCATAGCACTTCTGTAGGGCCTTCATAAAGGTTGAGTGAAAATGTGGTGCCATTGAGAACAATTCGAGTGAGATTTTCAATGGGCAGATTTGCAATTAAAGATAAATGCTAATTGTGAGAATGACTTTAAAAGTGATAAGAATGTATGGCTGAGCAAATACGTTAGAGGTGATAAGAACTGACTTTAATAGTGAGAATGTATGAAAAAAAGTCAGTTGGCGGTGGGTTCCCGAATAAATTATGTCCAACGAATGTCGGAGGTAGTTGAAAAACCCTGTTCATTTGTTTGAGTTAGACATTTTGCGGCAAAAGATGCGATTTTCGAATATTGACAGTGGGCGTACATATATATATATACATTAGGATAACATCTAAACATCACGTCATAGCATGGGCGACACGTCACCCGACTTGTTTTCAAAAAGGATGATGCGGCACCGTATATCTTTGCTTGCTGATTCTTTATCAGTCCAACGGCTTCATTTTCTTTGGAAAAAATACAACAAAAAATTCCAAACAACGTCACTTACAAATAAATTTACCTTGAATTTTTTATTGTGATATGAAAAAATTTTAAATTATGTCACTTGTGACACATTTACTCCACAACACTTTTGCTTAAGGGCATTTTCATCTTTTTCCTTTTTTAATTTTTTTCTTTCTTTTCTCTTTCCCTCCGCCGATCACGACGGAGGGAAGCCGGTGAGGGCCGCCCTCGCCCAACTCAGACGAGGGTTGCCCTCGTCGGCGTCGGACGAGGGTCGCCCTCGCCCAACCCCAACGCCGGCAAGGGCAGCCCTCGCCAGCTTCCCTCCGCCGTGGCCGGCGGAGGGAAGAGAGAAGAAAGGAAAAAAAAAAAGAAAGAAAAGGAAAAAAGACGAAAATATCTTTGGATAAAAGTACTGTGGGTAAATATACCACAAATGTAAAAGAAAAATTCTAGGTAAATTTGTCGGATAATTGGAGGTTTTTGGTGGTGTTTCCCTATTCTTTTTGGGATAATGACATAAATAGTCCCTAAACTTTGACTCAATGTGCAATTTGGTCCCTGAACTTTTAATTTGTTCAATGTAGTCCCTGAACTTTAATTTAATGTTCAATATGGTCCCTAAACTTTCAATTTGTTCAATGTGGTCCCTGAACTTTCGGTACATGTTCAATATAGTCCCTGAACTTTATAAAAATATTCAATGTAGTCCTTCCATTGATTCAAGTTTAAGGACTATATTGAATATTTTTATAAAGTTCAGGGACTATATTGAACATGTATCGAAAGTTCAGGGATCATATTGAACAAATTAAAAGTTCAGAGACCATATTGAATATTATGTTAAAATTCAGGGACTATATTGAACAAATTAAAAATTCAGGGATCAAATTGCACCTTGAGTCAAAGTTCAGGGACCGTCATTTTCCCGTTCTTTTTCTTCCTTCGGTCTCTTGTACTCCATCGGCTGCAGCTCAAAACGGCGATCTCAGGAAGTGAGCAACGATCTGCTAGGCGGAGAAGCATCAGCGAGCATGAATGATGCGAACGCCATCGAAGTCGCCGCCGGAGTTCCGACTTCAGCTCTCAACCTTATCGACCTCTCGAGCTCCGATGTTCAACGGTCGGTGTCTCTGCTCAAACAGGTCCTCGATACTCTCGAGTTTGTCCGTTATTTTGATTCGATTTTCCGGCGCGTAAATCCTAGGAAACCAAGGTTTTTGAGTTGAGGGGATACTGACGGATGAATCCGATCCATTGGGCCTCAGGCGTGCTTGGATTCTGGCTTTTTCTACGTCATCAATCATGGAATCAGCCAGGATTTAATGGAGGAGGTCTTCGTTCAGAGCAGGCGGTTTTTCGGTTTGCCTTTGAGCGAGAAGATGAAGCTGTTGAGGAACGAGAAGCACCGAGGCTATACTCCTCTGTTCGATCAGGTCCTCGATCCTGCAAATCAGATAAACGGTTTGTGTCCAATGATCCTATTTGTTCCCTTTTGGGTGTTGGTTTGCTGAAAGATTTTACTGCTTAAAGCGGACATAGATGAATAGCTGGTGATGTTGATAGCTTCCTGTAATCAGGTGGTGGTTGAGTAGCAGTTCCTAGAAAAGGAAGATCAATTAGTTATTTTTCCTGTTTGTGATTGTATCCTTGGAGAGAACTGACACAGAAATAGGAGCTAACCCAAACCATGAGCTCTAAGACAAAGATTTGGCTGAAGCTTGTTAAGCTTGTTGTGACCTATCTGCTTATCATCTTCTGAAGATTGTTGGAGTAGTAATGATTCCATTGATGTTTTATAGGAGATTATAAGGAAGGATACTACATAGGAGTGGAAGTACCGGAGGATGATCCAGGTGCACAGAAGCCTCATTTTGGACCAAACCTCTGGCCTTCTGAGGGTAACCAGTTGTTTAATATAATTTCTGTCCAACTTAATATAGTTGCTGATAATGAATGCTTATTTTGGTTTCATTGTTGTATTTTCCATAGAGATATTGCCAAGATGGAGGCAGACGATGGAAAAATTTCATAGTCAGGCATTGTAAGTTTTCCTATAGATGATAAGAGCACGAGTTTCTGGATATAAATTTTTTTTCCATCCAAGTAAAAGATAATTCAGAGATCTTCTGTTTCTATGATGGGGTATTTTAGGCA